CTGCACGCTTTGACGCGCAGACATACACACAGGCAGAACACTCACACACATGAAACAGAAATAAATAAATCCCAAGAAAGACTCAAAAAACCCCATGTTTTTCGGTGATGTGTGCACAGGGCAGGACCATGTGTGGAGCTCAGAGGACAACTGTATGGAATCCTCTCATTTCGGGACTGAACTCGGGTCACCAGGCTTGTGCGGCCCGAGTCGTTACCATCTTTGTGACGTTGAGGATGTCTACCCTGGCAGCTCTGCTGTCCCCCGGTCCTTTGGCTCCAGGCTCTTTCCTGCCGCTGCCAGGTGCCTGCTCCTTCCATTGCCAGAGTTAGGCGAAGAGCATGTGTGTCAGATTCCCGTTGTGAAACACACTTCTGAACCCATCTTCACCCAGGTCACCAGGCTCCCTAGTGCATAAGCTCAGGGACTGCATCACCCTAAGGTACCCTCCAATCTGACCAACTGAGCTAGGGTTGCAGGATTAGGCTACACAAAGCCCCAAGCTTTCCAGAGAAGGGACCATCTGCTGCAGGCTCTAGGAAGTGGCCTGTGGGCACGGTGGGTGATTGGAAAATCTGTGGACCAGTTTTCAGCTCCTACTTCTCACCTCCATGTGGCTTCAGAAAATTCCCACCCAATACTCCACCTCCACCCAGCAGCAAATGCAGCCACCCAAGTTGTTTCTTCTCAGCGAAGGAGAGCAGATTACATAAGATGGTCACAGAATCGAGAGAGTTTAAGCTCTGAAGCTTCTATAGAAATCATTTGTCATTGAGGTTCCAGCCCGAGGTTGCTTCCTTTCTTCAGGACTTATGCTATACCAAACTGGCTTACACCAGACAGCCTCTTCTCGGGGGCTGGCGAAACTGCTATTCCTAGACCAATTTTCCTGTAAGCAGTAACACATCGAAAGGCAGGCGGTAGCAAGCAAGCAGAACAGAGCACACAGTTCCCCGGAAAGCTGAGACAGGAGAATTCTAGGTTTGGGGTCAGTCTGGGCTACACAGCATTTGGAAACATGTAGAGAAATTCTTTTAAAGAAAGGAAAACGATTACCTTCATGCATAGCCACTTGTGGACCTATTCTAGCCTTGGAAGCTCAGGGTGCTTTTCTTGCTTGGTTTATAGATTGTCAACCCCGGGTCAAGCACTTGGAAAGTGAGAGCGAGCACTTCGGCTCCATCGTTCTGATGGGTGAGCAGATGCACACTTAAGCATTTCAGCTGCTTAAGTGCGCATCTCCTTCCTGACCTTTGATCCGAATCAATTAAGCAATGAAATGATGAAACCTCACTTTTGATCAATACCTTCCGTCCAGAGGGACACTGTGCTGTCCTTGCAGACTATTATTAGATTGAGTTTGGAATGTGAACTGCTGCCTCATGTAGAATTAAAAAAAACCCTCAGGGTCTCTATTGTAACCCGTGCTGGCCCAGATCTTGCCATCCTCCTGCCTCAGCCTCCTGAGAGCTAAGTCAACACCTCAGTATTCAAGGAGGAACTAGTAGGATCTATAAACATTAAACAGAGTTAGGACGAGGGTGGGGCATTTGGAATTAATGAGTTTATCGAAACATCCTGTTAGCAGCTAGTGGGCATCGAGGTCTTGCACATTCGAGGTATGTGGAAGACACCAAAGCTTTTGTTTTTTCTAATTAAGCCACAGTGGAGGAACAGAGTGAGTCACCTGAAGGACAGTAGGATTTTCCTTGGCTCACGTATCCTCATAACCCTTCATGGACTCTTCTACTCTTCTTAGTCTTCCTTTAATTTGGGTTCTAGTCACAAAAGGATGCTTAGTACTTTCTTACACCCAGTAGGTTGACCATCATTTCCCCTTTGTTCTGCCACTGGTACACTGAAGTCCTTATGCTGAACCAACTTTGTGCTGTCCATCCGCGCACACTCTAAGTGTGCAGAGGGAGCTCATTCATCTGCATTTCTTGGTGACTAATGACAGCATCTTTTCATGCACTCATTGGTCATTCACACATTCTCTCTTATGAAGGTACTTCAAAGCTGTCATAATCCTGAATTATACGAGCCTTTTCACATATTCTAAATTCACAAGTCTTTGACCATTGTGAGACCCTTGCTGCCAAGCCTGATGACCTCAAAAATTGTCCTCTGGTCTCCATATATACACCAGCAAGGATGCAATGCCCAGTCCACAAAAAAAAAGTATTGTATCTTCTTCCATTTAAGTACTTGTGTCTAATTTTCTTAACCACATTATATGAAAAGCACAACTTAAAAAGTCCAATTACGGGTTTTCCTTTTATAGTTTGTGCACTCTGTGCTCTAGGGAATATCTTTTTTACGTAAAAGTGACGACACTGATCTTGGCTTCTAGCTACCTTGTAGTTTTAGGTTTATGTTCGCTTTAGTTGTTTATGTTAATTTCCCCCAATTGTACATGCAATTGTGCCAGCATTATTTATTTAACGGGTTCCTCTCTGCTGACTGAGTTGGCCAGGCTCCCTTGTGGATTACTTGAACATGCACACGTGCCTCTTTCTGTAGGTCTCCCTGGATACCAGTTTGATAACTGTAGGATGAAGCCTTGAAAACAGAAGCAAGGCTCCTCTAACTCTGCTTTGACAACTCCACTGACTATCTTCTAGGTCATTTGCATCTCACACATTTTAAATAGTCAATTTCTAAAAACTGCAATTTTGATCTGAACTGTGTCTATCACATCTATGGTAGTCCTGGGGCTTGAACTCTTAATCTTGTGAATGGCAAACATTCTGAGTATATATACTCAGTTGGCTAGGTTTCTTGAGATAGGTTCTCACTCTGTATCCCAGTCTGTGTTGTCACCCTCAGGAACACAGTCCGTCTTCTTTGAGATAGAGTCTCTGGTTGGTCTAGAAATCACCAATTAGGCTGCCTGGCCAGGAGACCTAGGGATACTCCTGTCTCCACTCCCCTAGAGCTGGGATTACAAGAGCACATTTTTTAAAATGATTTGTTTTAATTTTATGTGTTTTGGTGTTTTTGCCTACATGTGTGAGGGAGTTCTATTCCCTGGAACTGGAGTTAGATAGTTGTGAGTTGCCACATGGGTGCTGGGAATTGAACCCAGGTCCTCTGGAAGAGCAGCCAGTGCTCATAACCACTGAGCCACCTCTCCAGCCCACAAAAGCGTACTTTTGTGGGTTCTGGAGATCAAATTGACCTCCTTCTGCTTGCCAGGCAAGTGCTTTACCAGCTGAGCTCTCCCTGCCTCCAGAACCTTCTCCCATCAGCTATTTTCTACAAGAGATTTTGGTGTCTAAGTTCACTAGTGTCCTTAGTTTCCTGTCTTTAATCTTGTTTTGCTACCAGAGTGAAACTGGTATCATAAAAAGCACCAGCAGCACTTTCTTTTAAAGCGAGCATTTTGTGGGATGGGCATTTTTTCTTAAATGATTGAGAGACTGGTAACAACCTTTGGCCCTGGCTTTCTTTGTGAGGTGACTTTTAATTCAGGGCCATTGAGACTTCTTCTTTCTTTTGTGACAAGCCCAGGGTCTTGTCCCCAAGAGGTAAATACTCTGCTTCTGAGCTACACCCAGCCCCAGAGCTTCAGTTTTGAACAGAAAGCTTTTGCTGTGCTGATTTTCGCTGCTGGAAGCCTGCCTGCTATGCACTCCACCGAAGTGCTCACTGCGGGTGAGAAGCAGTAAGGGCTGGCTGGTAACCACCAGACCTCTGGATGGCAGTAAAGATGGCTGTGGACTTTCCTGCCGCCGGCTGCCGTGCAGTTCCCTTATTCCTAACAGACACATGACAGGAAAAAATGAACTCTTTAGTTCCCTCCCCAGGTAGCCCATTGTTATCTAGTTTCTTGTCTTCCGTTACTTTGCAAATTACATTCCCCTACCAGACACAAGTCCTTTAAGCTGGGCCATTGTCATGGTGCTGATACTGCAGGCAACTGGATGTGTATCAGGGTACAGAGGGCAGTCAACACCACTGCACAAAGTTCTGCACACATCTCCACACCAGGCACAAAGCTGTGTCCAGCTAACCAAGTAGCTATCAGAGGGCCAACGCATGAAGTCCACAGGCCCCAGAATCACTCTTGCTGTCTCTGAAGGCTCAGGTCCCATGACAGAAACAGAAAGTACGGTGGATTGGAGCATCAGACCTGTGGCTGAGCTCTATGTGTGTACCAGGCTAGATATGGGATGAATAAATGTTAAGGTACTACAAATACCAAGTACTACATGAGACCAAGTTCAGATCAGCTGCGCCCATAGAAATGAGAGGGTTACCCAGGGTTACTGCTAGCAGCAGGATGAAAGCCTAGCTTCTTGAAGGGGGTTTGCAGGGGGAACAAGAGAGTACCAGGACGTAAAGACGCTACATGCATGCGAATGTCATAATGAAATCCATTATGCATAGTTAACATATGCTAATAAAGAAAAGTAAAAGCCTGCCTGTGGATGGGAAACATAGGCCAACAAGGCCAGTATAAAGACAAGAGGTCAACAGCCAGGGCTTTGTCCTCCACGTTCCCTCCGCTCACCTCCTCCTGGTCCTTCATCCCTGCTCCTCTCAGGCCATGCTATCCTGTCTTTCAGAAGACCCAAATCACATCTGCCCGTGCAAAATAAGCTTGACCTCCAGACTTCAGATCCTCGCCACATCTCAACCCCAATTCACAGCTCGGTAAAGCATAACTTCAGACTTGATGTTCAAGTCTAAAAGGATGCACTTGAGAGCGGAGTTTGGTTTACCATGCCAGGCAGATGCACGAGGCATTTCAGAAGCCGTTATCAGGGACTGAGTAAGACACCATCACAAGAAGGTTGATGAGATGACTCAGTGGGAAGGTTCTGGCCATCGAGTGGATGGATTGACTATCGACCTCTGGACCCTGAGGACAAAAGGAAAGAGTGACCCCTGGAAGTGTACAGTGTGGCACTCATGTGCCCTCTTCCCCAAAATAAATATGTAAATGCATTAAAAAAAAGACTTCCCCAAAATAGACAGGCATCTCCTTCGGGGGCTGGGTCAACTCTGACATTATATTTTGTTTTTAAGCAGTTCCCTTAACACCAAGGGTCCAAATAAATCCTCTGAGACATTTTGTTGGTATAGATTTTAAGTTACAAGCTTGATTTGACACCCTCAGACACAGTTCTTAAGAAGGCTAGTTATAAATAGTTGTCATTACTTTCAAATGAGAGGGAAAATATGTTTCAGAACAGTGGATGAATTCTTTATGCGTGGGGTAACATCCTCTCATCTCCAGGTGGGACACTCCAGTTCATGCAGTAAATGACAATTACATTTTAAAATGAGCCTTGGGGTTTCCGGGTGAGAGTTCATACCCACTTTAAGTCAAGAGCTCAGCCTACTCCCGATCACTCTGTGGTCCCTGAAGCATGAGTACCCGGCTCCTCTGACACATCTGGGCCCCTGGTTAGCGAGGTGTCACTTCAGGCCTTTCCTTCGCTGAAGGCTTCCAGGAAACCTCAGGGTTTAGAAAAGTGGCCAAGGTGGCTGAGAGGCAAATATAATACCTGAGACCACACAAGACTCTGAGTGACCTAAGAGAGGTAAACGGGGAAGATTTTAACTTGACGTAAAATCGGCAGAAACAGGGGTCACCAAATCCCAGCAACTAGAAATCACGAGGATGAAACATGTTTGTGCATCATGAGGAGGCCCGCACAGACAACCTCACTAGCGGCTTCCACAGAACCTCTGGCGGAAGTACCCGGATGATGGGACCTATTTTACACATGATGTGAATACAAGGTCTCAAAATTTATAATAGGACATTAAAATAATCTTCTAATAAAATCAGCCTTAGGTATAAGGAATCTAAATTTCAGTATTCTGTATGCTTCTAAATAAATAACTCTGATCTATAACCATTGTACATATTACAGTTTACGGTGAAATGGTAAGAGATAAGCCACACAGTGTTATAAGTGAAAATAAAATGTCAATTTAAAAATAAGCCTAAAACATACGGAGCTGAAATAATACAAAATCAAAACACTAAGTGTCTAATTAAATAAGTAGTGGTGGGATGACCAAATACATGCTCAGCAACGCACTCTCAACTCATTCAAAAAGCCCTTTAAATTCATAGTTCCAAATAAATAAGCAGAAACACAAAGGAAGGTACTGTGCCAGCCAGTAATAACTAGAAAGCAATTTCTCTCGTTTCCTTCCAAATGATTTTAACAGGAAAACAGAACATAAAGATCACTTGCTAAAAAACTATAATTCATGATTTTTAAAAAAAGACACTGCCTAGAATATAAAAAGTCAAAGCAAGGCCTCCTAAACATTAGATCACTGTACCGTAAATAAGGAAAGGCCACCTAATGACAGATTTAAACAAAACTAGGTATTTAAACTTGCCTATTTAAGGTATGATTGAATATCCACGTCCTGATCCCATGACTGGGTCCACAATGAGGCCATGATAGGAACGCATAGTCCATACCCCTGAGCATATGGCCTGCGACTACTCCCACATGTGGTGGCCTGGTTCTTTCAACAAAGTAAGGGTTCACCTTCCACGAACGCCCGTACAGTAGGAACTACCCCTTACTTGGGTTCCCAGTCTTAGGTTCCAGAATGGAACAGGTGCTCGCTAAGCCTCACTTAAGCTATGGAACCAGAACTCATTGCTCCAGGCAGCACAGAAGCCACAGGAAAATCTCATCTGAGACTTGGGAGTTCTGTCATGGGGCTTGCCTTCAGGCCTGTCAAATTCATTGCCACTGATCTGTCAGATTCTCAATTCAAGGCCAACATTCCTACAGTTTATCTGGTTCACAGGTAAGCCTTCTCCAGATTTGTGCCTGCACATTGTAGTCAAGTTAAAAGAATAAAGGTCATCTTTGTACTCTGCACTGGATATCCACTTGTGGTTACTACTTCAGACATACACACACCCACACGACCATTTCACAAATGGAGAACAGAATCTAGAGTAATGCCCAAAGCTAAAATTACACAGCTCCAAGATTAACTAAAAAATGGCGTTGAAACCATAAGGTAACTCTCTCTGATCACAAAGAAACTTATTGCGTGGTGGCAGGAAGCAATGCCTGTGGACAATGACGGTAAACCGGGACTGTCCTTTAACCCTCAGTGGGAGCCCGGTGTGACTCTGCTCTGTGTGCTTCACTATACAAGCAAGCAGCAAGCAGAGGGGCGTGGTCTCCACGGCCCTCCCACTGTCCTCAGTAATCCACCAGCATTCGCCTTCTGTGGATTACTCTAACAGAGGTCTCTGGGCTGTCTCTATTGTCCGTCCTTGGGTCCCCGCTGCTGGGGAAGGGGAATGTTCCATGACTCCTGAAATAAAAGCTGTTTGGGAGGTTTGCATCTTTGTCTGTCTGTCTGTCTGTCAGCACGCCTGTCCCACTGCTGCTAGGAGAGGTAGACCCAGTGTTTAAGTCCTGACACCCCCTGCAGCAGCTTAGTGTAATAGAAGTCCATGTTGTCGGCAAAGTCTGTACAAACAGGTGACTCCATGTTGCCCAGAGTGCAATAGAGTGCAGTTCCTCCAACGCTGAGGAAGACTGTGGCTATGCACAGCAAGATGAGCAGGATGCAGGAGCCGCTGCCCACTTCATCTGCAAGCAAGAGAACAGTGGTCAGACATCACACAGACTCTTCACCTGCTCTTCCTTTAGAAGAGCGCCTCTCAGGGAGCTCCAGGCAGAAGGTGAGGTTTGTAACTACACATAAAGATGTGGCAATCCTCTTTGCCTGTTCATCTATGAGGGCAACCTAGTGTATGTCTCTCCACACTTTTTCATACCGTGACTAGTCAACCCTCCAAATATTCTGAAGAATTTTTCTGTACTAAGTATGTACTCTTTTCTTATCGTAGTCCCTTAAACAATACTGTATATCAATTACTTACCCTTTATTTAAACTCACGAGATAGTATATGTAATGTGGATGACTGCAACTACTGAGCCAACTCTCCGACCCAAGACACTCTGACAAAGAATAAGTAGCTGGGCGTGGTGGCGCACGCCTTTAATCCCAGCACTAAGGAGGCAGACGTAGGCGGATCTCTGTGAGTTTGGTCTACAGAGTGAGTTCCAGGACAGCCAGGGCTGTTACACAGAGAAACTCTACCTCAAACAAACAAACAAACAAAAAAAGCAAAAACCATAAAGAATAAACCAAGCATGCGGGAAGGACGGGTGAGACGGTTCAGTCGGTGCAGGCATTTGGCTTTGCAAGCCTGACAGCCTGAGTTCAATCCCTGGAATTCATTAATGGTGGAAGAAGAGAACCAACTCCCAGAAGTTGTCCTTTGACCTCCACACATACTCTGTGGCACAGGTGTGAAATGAACAGTTATAATAATGATAATAATAATCATCATCATCATCCAAGTACTCAGGGCAGTGTGAACAGATTCTATGAAAACAAAACGCCCGTCTCATATAAGGGTCTTGGGCATCTGCAGATTTTATTATTATGCAGTCTTGGGTCCTGTGGTACATGGAGAGATGCATGGTGAGCATGAAACAGATCCCAGTTTTGGAGGACAGAGTGTAGAAAAGATGTGAAATATCTCACCAGCAATTTTCCCATTGATCGATCACATGCTGCAATAGTTTTGATACGCTAAGTTAAATGAAATAACTACTGAAGCACATTTCATATATTTTCACGTTTGTTATGTGAAATCACCCATGAGGGGCTGGAGAGATGACTTGGTGTTTAAAAGCACTGATTGCTCTTCCTGAAGACCCAGGTTTGAGTCCCAGGCACCATGAGACAGCTTACAACCCTCTGTAACTCCAGGTCAGGGGATCTGATGCCCTCCTCTGGCTTCCTCAGGCACTGCACACACGAGAGGCAAAACACCCACGTACATAAAAAAGAAATCGCCTATGAGCGTCCACATTACATTTCCAGGACACAGTACTGACTAGCGGGAGGATGTGCCTCTCAAGGAGCTCCAGGCAGAAGGTGAGGTTTGTAACTATACGCGTGTAAGCTTTACATAAAGGTTTCATGACTGCTGAGACCAATCCATGCACTTTATCTACAAGCTTTTCATTGTCCTTAGTGGCAGAGCAGTGATTGTTGGTTTATATATATATATATATATATTGGTTTTATGAGACAGGGTTTCTCTGTATTGCTTTGGAGGCTGTCGGTCCAGCCTGGCCTCGAACTCACAGAGATCTGCCTGCCTCTGCCTCCCAAGTGCTGGGATTAAAGGCGTGCGCCACCACCGCCCGACGTTGGCTTACATTTTAAGGAGGATGAAGCTGAGTAACTTGGTGACAGTGAGGTGGCCTGAGAGTTCCAGGCCCTGGTGCACACATGTGCGGTCAGGATAGAGGACTTCACGGGATGTGGGTGGGGTTGGAGGCTGTGTTGGTTACGAGATGCATGGATAAAGATAAAGCGTTTCCAAGGCCTTTCACCTTCACAGCTGAAAGCCCCAGGCAGCTCTCCGTTACCTTAGAAACACAGCTCAGTGTTCACTCTTACTCAGTGCACAGAGAAACACACTGACAGACTCCATTACTCAGTGCTCAGAAAAACACACTGACAGACTCCATTACTCAGTGCACAGAGAAACACACTGACAGACTCCTTTACTCAGTGCACAGAGAGAGAGAAACACCCGAAAGGCTCAGAGCTGGTTTCCACTCCTGCCTCAGGTGACTCTGTCTGCAACCACATAAGACAGCTCTGCTGTGACAGCATGGTCTCAGTGCTGGCCAGGGACAGATGCTCAACCACGACTGTACTGAGCATTTGCTCCCGAGGGGAGGCACTCAGCTTCTGTGCAGAGTAGAGAATGCTTCATGATAAAAAAGGGCACTGAAAAAAAAAGACCCCAAAAAAAAAAAGGGCACTGATTTGTCATTAAAAACAAAATAAAGGGCTGGAGAGATGGCTCAGAGGTTAAGAGCACTGACTGCTCTTCCAGAGATCCTGAGTTCAATTCCCAGCAACCACATGGTGGCTCACAGCCATCTATAATGAGATCTGGTGTCCTCTTCTGTTATGCAGGCAGAACACTGTGCATAATAAATAAATAAACAAATCTTTAAAAAAATAAAATAAAATAAAAAGAGGGGTACTAATTTGTCACTAAAACCAAAACAAAAACAAGCTCACTACAGAGGAAGAAAAGACAGGAAAATACTAAAGAAAAAAAACTGAGGTAAGTGTTTGACTTTGACCATTTCTGGACTGGGGAGACCCCAAGGTCAATTTTGCAACTTGCTCATTTATTTCAGCAAAAAATGCATCAAAAGTTAAAAAGATATAACTTGACTTCTTTTTGTTTCTCTGCTAGAAGATAGAGCAAGTCCACACAGTCCTTACAAACCCTGTTAGCAAACATCATGTCACACAACTATCCAGCCTGATGCTGAACCCTGCAGACCGGGGGCTGAGCGCACCTTGATCCAAGCTATCATCTATTTCCTGGAACCGCACTCTCCGCTTAGCTGGCTTCTGCTGCATTTGGGCAGGGTGGTCCCCTATCGTGTCATTCCTCTTCTTTAATATGGACACCAGCCCTTCTGCAGGAACGACCTGTCGGAGATGGAAGGACCTTTGTTATATTAAGTTGAATGGGACTTACGGGTGATGTGTTACAAATGTGACCATAGAACACCATTTCAGTGATTTATACCCATCTCTCTTCACTTAACAACAGGTTAAGATAGAGTCTTACCCAGGCTAGTCTTGAATCTGTGGCATTTTTTCTGCCTTAGCAGGAATGCTGGGAGTACATTTAGGAAGGCTAAAATATATGGGGTGGCAAACTTAACACCAAATGAGTTACTTTAGTTCCTCAGAGAAAATACACATTACTAAATAATCTGTATTCAAAATCTTTTGGGGACTTTTCTTCTAGATTTTCTCTCACTTTTCTGTGACTCACTACTTGGTATGCAGAGGTTAGTAAACTCTTTACCCAGCAGCTCCCTGGTTCTCCCTCCCTTCCCCCAGACAAGGGTCTCCTTCACTCTGTAGCCCAGGAGAGCTCAGAACTTGCTATAGCCTGGGCTGGCCTTGAACTTGAGATCTTCTCTGAGTTTCCCGAGTGCTATCACACCTGGCTTTACTTCACTGCCTGTTTTTGTAAATTTAATTGGAAACAGAACAAATTCTGCATAGCTTTGGGGGTGGGGTTTAAAGCAGAACTGGGAAGCTGTGACAGACCATAAAGCCTAAAGTATTTACAGTCTGGGGCTTCACGGGAAAACTGCATCAGAAACCTTCAGCCCCCACCACCCACGTTATGCAGCCCTTCTGATTCTTCCTTCCCATACCATCTCTCTTATTTCAAGCCAAAAGCACTTGCTTGCCATTTAGGAGCGATAGCCTCCAGAGTATGAGGGTTGCGGGGGGGAAAAGAGGGTCAGTTTGAAGAGGCAGGAGGGAAAGTAGCTGCTCACTTCTGCCCAACCCAGCCAACTGGGAGGAGGTGCCTGCTTGCTTCAAGCTACAGATGATGACATGGGTGGGCATTGTGGGCTCAGCACTGTGGATGGATGTCCGTGGCTGTAAGCTAGGACTGCCTGTAATGTCATTTATCCAATCAATGGCATAAAGCACTTAATATGATTTCCAGTTCTAGGCAGCAATCTAGGATAATTACAGACTCCATTAGTTCTTTTTATAATTCAGAGCTTTTAAGAACAACCGAGTATAGACAAACAGTCTTCTACTAGGGCTCTCTGAACATGGGTCTATAGAAACCATTATCTTAAAAAGATCAATAAGTCAGCAATTTCTTTTTATAGGAATTACGTTTCAGATATCCTTATTCTCAGAAAGCAAGAGTACTTTAGTTACATTACAATGCTAAGCACAGGGCTGGCAAGATGACTCAGTGGGCAAGAGTGCTTGCCACCAAGCCTGCAGTACCGGAGTTCGATCCTTGGAACTCACATAGTGGAAACAGAGAACAGACTCTTTGGTCTTCACGAATGCTGTGGCACCAACATGTCCCTCTCCACACATAAATATACTTTTTTTTTAAAAACAAGTACAAACATGTAAAAATAGATTTAATTTTTTTCTTTAGAATACATTAAAGAATTCCTTCATAAAACAAAGGGAAATGATTTTACAAATGCCTTGCTTAAAGTGAGAGACAAAGACATACTGTTAGGTTTTTAATGAGCGAGGACTGGAGCCAGCGAGACTGCTACGCAGGTATGAGCATGTGCTATGTGAGCCTCACAGCCTGGAGTTTGATTCCTGGATCCCACCCCAGGAGGAGAGAACAGACGTTCAGAAGGTGTGCTCTGACTTGGGCACGCCCTGTGGCACGTGTATGTCTGCACTCACATGTACAAAGTAAGTAAATCAATTTCAAAAATACCTTAAAAAGCAGGGGTTAGAAAACAGAAATTAGTTTCAATGAAATATATAACCGGCAATCTTTTCATCTCTAGGAAATGCAAAACTAAAGGGGAGAGGCCTCATGGAACGTTTGCTATTTTTTTTCCCAATGTTTCCAATTTAGCTGAAAACCAGCAAGGTCCAGGCCTTTTTGGGTATCTTCTCTAGGGTTTTCTTTCTTTGTGAGTATTTTCAGGTTCCTACAGCACATACATAGGGAACAAAGCACAATGGGTCTGAGCACAGAAGATGCTGGCCAAGGAGGGTTAATCTTGGATGCAGGAGGTATAGTGCTTAGGATGTGTCATGTGTTTGTGTGTGTGTGTGTGTGTGTGTGTGTGTGTGTGGGTTGTCTGTCTGTTGCAACAGTTTGGAGCAAAGAGTTTGAACTTGTCTGAAACAGAATTGCTACTTCCCACAGCATGACAGCCAGAATCAGACCAACTCCACCCCAGAATTCCTGTCTCATATGGCTCTCCTAGCCCTCAGAATGTCTATATCCCACAGCATCAAGAGTTGAAGAATGAACTTAGGGGAATTTGCCTTAATTCCATGACTGATGGGTAAGCAATCGGAAATAAGAACATGGCCTTGTTCATGGTGTCACCCTAATGATGCCAAATGTGTCTATGCAGAGTCTCTACATACAGTCATTATATACAATGTGTCTCCTGAAAACTACTCCAAGAAAGGCATTCTATGATTGTTGTTGTTGCTATAATAAAATGAGAGGCTGCGTGTACTGCACAGGCCTTTAATCCCAGCACCTGAGATCTCTGAGTTCAGGGCCAACTGGTCTACATGGTGAGTTCCAGGACTGAAGGTACTCAAGGCAGTGAGGTCCTGGTGAGCATGGCTCATGCAGGCCTTGCTCTTCTCCCATCCCCTAGGCCTTGCTACAAACCCTTCGAGTACATTCCTAAAGCTAGCCATCGGGGTCTATTCTCTTATTTGGCCACTTCCTCCTCCTGAGGCTGACCACCAAGGTCCAGCTATCAAAGTATTGAAGCCCCCTTTGGGTACCCTAATTAACATGCCCAATTAAAACTAAACACCTCATCCTAAGGCGGAGTTTCCCCTTTTACCTTTATAAAGTGCCATTTGCCTATGGACCACATCTGTCTCCTCTCAATCCAGAGTCAGTCCATTGTCCTTACAGGACAAATACCTCTGCCCCCTTTCCCTTGTCCCCTCCTCCTCCTCCCCCATCTCCTATACCGCCACATCAGCCCATTCTAACACAGACCACGCACACCCCTTTTCTCTTCATAGAGCTTACATCTGCAAGGTCATTTGCCGCTGCTTTCTGCCTGAGTCAGAAAGCAGCCACTTTAACTTTTCTTCCCCACTTAATAAAGGATCTCTGTGAAAACAGGTGTTTGGGTGTGGTTTGTGCTTAATGGGGATGTGGGGGTAGGGGCCTGGTATCTGGGAGGGAGCCCATGCTGTGTGCCAGGGGGTAGGGGTATCTTCCTTCAAGGACAGCCAGGGCTACATAGTGACACAGTCTCAAAAAAAAAAGTATTAAGATATGAAGAATTTCAGTCTGTCCTCCCTCCCTCCCTCCTTTCTTTCTTCTCTCCTTCCCTCCCTCCCTCCTTTCTCTATCCCTCCCTTCCTTCATGATGCTGGGATCAGGACAAGGGTCTTCTCTATGCTAAAAAATAAATAAATAAAAACAAAGAAAATTTAAATATCCAAAAGAGCTTTAACTGTAAGAGTAAATGTAATTTCCTGTTTCAATTAGCAAATTGCTTTCTCACCCCAACAATATATACCCGGCCTGTCCACCAGACCATCTGAGCCATAATTACTGCAATTGTGGCCCTCTGATAGATGCAGGGCTGGGAAACATCCATCTGGCCTAGCCCTGTGTGTCTGGAAGGGAACGGCTCATCTTGCTCAGCAAGCAATGGCCACCTTAAACAGCAGATCAGAGTGTACTACACAAAATGATTCCGTGAGCCCCCGGAACGCATTCCCAACAGGAGAGGTTGGCAGAGCACGCTAATCCTCCTTACCAGATTACAGAGGAAATGGGCCAAAAGTAGACCATTTTCATCAGGAACCTCAAGGCTTGTCATTGTAAACAAGAACACAGGCTTGGCTTCCAACTAACTTGACAACCAACTCCCACAAGCCACAATAGTATATTATGTGTATCTTGTTTTGTTTTTTTGTTTTTTGTTTTTGAGGCAGGGTTTCTCTATATTGTTTTGGAGGCTGTCCCGGAACTCACAGAGATCCACCTGCCTCTGCCTCCTGAGTGCTGGGATTAAAGGTGTGCGCCACCACTGCCTGGCTTTATTGTGGGTACCTTAAATGGATGAACATTAACAGCCGATTCGACGCTATGCCATGTTCAGTCCTCACAACGGTTTCAGGCATTATCAGATGAAAACGCCGATGTGAATGAGCTCACCCTGCCAACAATGGGCAGAGTTATGGACAAACTCAGGGTTAAATTCTAAGACCTGACCTGTACTATTAGGATTTTACTTTGGGCTGTATGTGTTTGTTTCCACTGGATTGAAATAAATGGAATTTTCAAATAACAAGGCTTTTGGCTACCCAGAAGTTGTTTACATTTTCAACCTGAAATTCTAATCTTTTATATTCCCCAGTTAAGAGATACTTAAACTGATGGCTATTCTTGTCATGGAGGAGGGGTGGAAGATGGAAGATCTTTGGCAGGAGCAGATTAATGTCATGGCTAATTGACAGAACAGGTCACAGCTGGACCTGGGGTGACAGCTAACGTTGGAAAGCCATTACACAAAAGAGCCTGTGGCTCCTTCAGGCCTCCCAAGTGCTAAATCTAGGAACACTGCAACAGGATGTGCCAAGCGATAAAACAGATTGCGCGGGGGGGGGGGGGTGTAGAACAACAACAACACACACACACACACACACACACACACACACACACACACACACACACACACCATGCAGAATTTCTGACCGCTTACGGAGGAAAAAGCATATTGCTAGCAGCAAAGCCAGGAACTTCCTAAAGCCTCTAAATACACAGATCAGGTGTTGCTGCATGCTCTTGCTGTGGTAACTCGCTCTTGCTTGCAAAACAGAGGAGTCAGTAAGCACAAGATGGGAAAAGAAATGTGAGCTTGTTAGGCGGTGGCCTGCCTTTTGTATCTCCAGAAGACTATCTGTAGAGCTGC